GGGGTTGGACTGGATGGCCTTTGGGGGTCCCTATCAACTTGCATGATTCGATAATGCTGTGACCTCAGTTTGTAAGCTGCTTTGGAACTTGACAGAGGCCTTTAAGAAAGGTTTGAATGGCCATCTGTTGGGAGGGCTTTGATTGTGTCTTCCTGCCTGGCTGAAGAGGGTCAGACTGGATGGTATTTGGGACACTGTCCAATTCTAATGGGATACAGACTGCCTCAGAATCTGATAGCGTCTCCTTCTTATTAAGCAGAGGCTGGATGTCCATCTGTTGGGAGGGCTTTGATTGTGTCTTCCTGCCTGGCCAAAGAAGGTCAGACTGGATGTCCTTTGGGACACTATCCAACTCTAATGGGATACAGACTGGCTCAGAATCTGATAGCGACTCCTTCTTATTAAGCAGAGGCTGGATGTCCATCTGTTGGGAGGGCTTTGATTGTGTCTTCCTGCCTGGCTGAAGAAGGTCAGTCTGGATGACCTTTGGGACAGTATCTAACTCTAATGGGATACAGACTGCCTCAGAATCTGATAGCGTCTCCTTTTTAAGCTGTGGCTGGATGGCCATCTGTTGGGAGGGCTTTGATTGTGTCTTCCTGCCTGGCTGAAGAGGGTCAGACTGGAAGGCCTTTGGGACACTGTCCAATTCTAATGGGATACAGACTGCCTCAGAATGTGATAGCGTCTCCTTATTAAGCAGCAACTGGATGGCCATCTGTTGGGAGGGCTTTGATTGTGTCTTCCTGCCTGACCAAAGAGTGTCAGACTGGATGGCCTTTGGGACACTATCCAACTCTATTATTGCCCCATAATCTGATAGCGTCTATTCCTTTTTAAACAGGGGCTAGATGCCCATCTGTTGGGAGGGCTTTGATTGTGTCTTCCTGCCTGGACGAAGAAGGTCAGACTGGATGGCCTTTGGGATACCATCCAACTCTAATGAGATACAGACTGGCTCAGAATCTCATAATGTCTCCTTTTTAAGCAGCGGCTGGATGTCCATCTGTTGGGAGGGCTTTGATTGTGTCTTCCTGCCTGGCTGAAGAGGGTCAGACTGGATGGCCTTTGTGATACTATCCAACTCTAATGAGATACAGACTGCCTCAGAATCCGATAGTGTCTTCTTCTTTTTAAGCAACGGCTGGATGTTCATCTGTTGGGAGGGCTTTGATTGTGTCCTCCTGCCTGGCCAAAGAGGGTGAGACAGGATGGCCTTTGAGACACTATCCAATTCTAATGGGATACAAACTGCCCCATAATCTGATAGCGTCTCAAACTTTTTAACCAGAGGGTGGATGTCTATCTGTTGGGAGGGCTTTGATTGTATCTTCCTGCCTGGCAAAAGGAGGTTGGACTAGATGCCCTTGGAGGTTCCTCCCAACTCTATTGTTCTATGAATGTAATACTGCACATTTAATCCTGTCTTCCTCATGTTATTGGTGAATTCACATAAATTGGGTGTAATTCACCAATAATTACACCCAATTTACGTATGTTGTGTTAATTAGCTTTGACTTTCCATATGGAGATGATGGGAGAGCTTTGCTTGATTGCTTTTTAGGGCTGCTAGGGTTCAAGATATAGTATTCCACACCTCCTCTGCCAAAGATGGCTGGAGCCTTGTAAAACTACAACTCCCATTGAGCCATGGCAGTTAAAATAGTGACAGTAGCCATATTTGAGCCTTAGTCGTCAAATGCCATCCCATGCAGGGATACGAAAACAGTGACACATTGTATTTATACGCATTGTAATCATAGAATCCTTGAGTTGGAAGGGATCCCCAAGGATTATCTAGTCATAGATAGATAGAGGGAGGGAGAGAGGGAGAGATGATGGACTCATTGAATCTTATAGTTGGAAGGGCCCACAAAGGTCATCCAGTCCAACCTCTAGGATAGGTGGATAGATAGATGAGATAGATGATTGATTCTAGAATCCCGGAGATAGAAGGGACCCCCCAAAGGTCATCCAGTCCAACTCCTAGAATAGATGTAGGGAAAGAAAGAAAGAAAGAAAGAAAGAAAGATGGATGGATAGGTAGATAGGTGGATAGATAGATGATTGATTCTAGAATCCCGGAGATAGAAGGGACCCCCCAAAGGTCATCCAGTCCAACTCCTAGAATAGATGTAGGGAAAGAAAGAAAGAAAGAAAGAAAGAAAGAAAGAAAGAAAGAAAGATGGATGGATAGGTAGATAGATAGGTGGATAGATAGATGATTGATTCTAGAATCCCGGAGATAGAAGGGACCCCCAAAGGTCATCCAGTCCAACTCCTAGAATATATGTAGGGTTAGAAAGAAAGAAAGAAAGAAAGAAAGAAAGAAAGAAAGAAAGAAAGAAAGAAAGATGGATGGATAGGTAGATAGGTGGATAGATAGATGATTGATTCTAGAATCCCGGAGATAGAAGGGACCCCCAAAGGTCATCCAGTCCAACTCCTAGAATATATGTAGGGTTAGAAAGAAAGAAAGAAAGAAAGAAAGAAAGAAAGAAAGAAAGAAAGATGGATAGATGATAGACTCATTGAATCCCAGAGTTGGAAGGGCTCCCAAAGGCCATCCAGTCCAACTTGTAGGATAGATAGATAGATAGATAGATAGATAGATAGATAGATGCATAAACAGATAATCAATTGTAGAATCCTAGAGATGGAAGGGAACCCCAAAGGTCATCCAGTCCAACCCCTAGAATAGATGTATAGATGGATGGATGGATGGATGGATGGGTGGGTGGGTGGGTGGGTGGGTGGGTGGGTGGGTGGTTGGATGGATGGATAGATAGATAGATAGATAGATAGATAGATAGATAGATAGATAGACAGACTCATTGAATCCTAGAGTTGGAAGGGCCCACAAAGGCCATCCAGTCCAACTTCTAGGATAGATTGATAGATGCATAAATAGATAGATGATCGATTGTAGAATCCTAGAGATAGAAGGGAGCCCCAAAGGTCATCCAGTCCAACCCCTAGAATAGATGTATGGATAGATAGATAGAATAATTGAATCCTAGAGTTGGAAGGGCCCACAAAGGCAATCCAGACCAACCTCTTGGATAGATAGATAGATGCATAAATAGATAGATGATCGATTGTAGAATCCTAGAGATGGACAGGAACCCCAAAGGTCATCCAATCCATCATCTTGGATGGATGGATGGATAGATAGATAGATAAGATAGATGATCATTTATAGAATTCTAGAGGTGGAAGGCACTGTCAAAGTCATTCAGTCCAACCTCTAGGATTGATAGATAGATGGATAGATTGATAGATTAGATAGATGATCAATTGTAGAATCCTAGAGTTGAAGAAGAGCCCCAAAGGTCATCCAGTCCAACCCCAAGAATCGATGTATGTATGGATGGATGGATGGATAGATAGATAGATAGATAGATAGATAGATAGATAGGCAGGTGATAGACTCATTGAATCCTAGAGTTGGAAGGGTCCATAAAGGCCATCCAGTCCAACCTCTAGGATAGAGAGATAGATAGATGCATAAATAGATAGATGATAGATTGTAGAATCCTAGTGATGGAAGGGAGCCTCAAAGGTCATCCAGTCCAACTCCTAGAATAAATGGATGGATGGATGGATGGATGGATGGATGGATAGATAGATAGATAGATAGATAGATAGATAGATAGATAGATGATAGACTCATTGAATCCTAGAGATGGAAGGACCCACAAAGGCCATCCAGTCCAACCTCTAAGATAGATAGATAGATAGATAGATAGATAGATAGATAGATAGATAGATAGATAGATGATCAATTGTAGAATCTTAGAGATGGAAGGGAGCCTCAAAGGTCATCCAGACCAACATCTTGGGTGGATGAATAGATAGATGGATATATAGATGGATAGATAGATAGATAGATAGATAGATGATCGATTATAGCATTCTAGAGGAGGAAGGGGCTGCCAGATGTCATCCAGTCCAACCTCTACGATTGATAGATGGTTGGATTGATAGATGAATAGATTAGAATCAGAATCATAGAGTTGGAAGAGACCTTGTGAGTCATCCAGTCCAACCCCCTGCTAAGAAGCAGGACAGTCACATTCAAAGCACTCCCAACAGATGGCCATTCAGCTTCTGTTTAAAAGCCTCCATAGAAGGAGCCTCCACCATATAGATGATCTATTATAAAATCGTAGAATTGAAGAGGAACCCCAAAGGTCATCCAGTTCAACCTCTAGGATAGATCGATGGATGAATAGCTCAATGGATAGATTAGATAGAATCCTAGAGATGGAAGGGAGCAGTGAAACCCCTAAAGATACATAGATAAATAATAGAATCATAGAATCTTAGAATTGGAAGGGAACTCCAAAGGCCATCCAGTCAAACCCTCTAAGATAGATAAAGAGACTGACAAATAAACAGACAGATGATAGAATCATGGTTGGAAAGGACTCCAAAGTCCATGCAGTCCAACCCCCTTCTGCCTGGCAGGGAGACACCATCTAAGCCCTCCTGACAGATGGCCATTTGTTCTCTGCTTTAAAACTTCCAAAGAAGGAGACTGCATTGGGCTTAATGGCAAGGTATTCCACTGATGGACAGCTTTGATCATCAGGTAGTTCTTCCTAATGTTCAGTTGGGATTTCTTTTCCTGCCATTTGAATTATTATTATTATTATTATTATTATTATTATTATTATTATTATGTTATTATTATCAGCCTTCTTTTTCCTCAGGCTAAACATCCGCAGCTTCGTAAGCTGCTCCTCATAGGGACCTATAGTTTCCAAACCCTTTGACTGTTTTGGCCTTCCTTCCTTCTTGTCCATTTCCTCCTTGAATTATGCTTTCCAGAACTGGACTTAGTATAACTGTCATGAGTTGCAATCTTTTTCCATTTGGGAACCTTGCTTTTTAGATCACCGGCGTGGCACCGTTTTGCACGAAACCACCGTCTTGCTTTATAATTTCTCTCTCTCTCTCTCTTTCTCTCCCTCTCTTTCTCTCTCCTTTTCTCCTAGGCAAACTCCCCACCGGTCATTGTCAACACAGATACCTTAGAAGCGCCGGCGTATGTGAGTTTCCCCCCTTTTCTCCCAGTTGTATTTCCCCTTCTTTCCTTCCCCCCCCCCCCCCCCCTCTTTCTCTCTTCCGTGTCCTTGCTTGCTTCCTCCCTCCCTCCTTTCGGCATGTCCTAAAACGCCTTCCCAGGAACACGCCGCATTTTCTCCCTTTTTAGAAGATTACAAGTCACCAAACCCTTCTCTCTCCTTCTTCCAGGTAAATGGGACGGAAGGCGAGATGGAATACGAGGAGATAACGCTGGAACGGGTGAGTGAGGTCTAAGCAGAGGTGGTTGGGGGGCAAGATGAGGCACAGGCAGTCCCCAAGTTACAAACGAGAGAGGTTCTGTAAGGTTGTTCTTAAGTTGGATTTGTACGTCAGTCGGAACAGGGACATTTTTGAAGTGTAGCCCCCCCCCACACACACACACACGCACGCACACACACACACACACACACATATGTATATATGTATATTTATATGTGTGTATGTGTGTGTATATATATATATACAGATAGCTGGATGTGTGTATGTGTGTGTATATATATATATACAGATGGCTGGATGGCCATCTGTCAGGGGGGATTTGAATGCAACATTCCTGCTTCTTGGCAGGGGGTTGGACTGGATGGCCCACGAGGTCTCTTCCAACTCTTTGATTCTATGATTCTATATGTTTGTGTGTGTATGTGTGTATGTGTGTGTGTATATATATATATATATATAGAGAGAGAGAGAGAGAGAGAGAGAGAACCCAGTGATGCCGTGGGTTAAATCACTGAGCTGCTAAACTTGTTGACCAAAAGGTCGCAGGTTCGAATCCGTGAGACGAGATGAGCTCCTGTTGTTAGGCCCAGCTTCTACCAACCTAGCAGTTCCAAAACATGCAAATGTGAGTAGAGCAATAGGTACCGCTTCTGCGGGAAGGTAACGGCATTCCATCAAGTCATGCCGGCCACATGACCTTGGAGGTGTCTATGGACAACACCGGCTCTTCAGCTTACAAATAGAGATGAGCACCAATCTCCAGAGCCGGACACGACTGGACTTAATGTCACGGGACAACCATTACACACACACACATACACACATATATACGCACACATACATGCATGCACGCACGCGCACACACACACACACACACATATATACACACACACACACATATACTTTGGAGAGCATAGGAGAGAGTTTTGTGTGTGTGTGCTTTTTAAAAACATTTATATTCTGCCCTTCTCACTCCAAAGGAGACTCAGGACAGAGCACAACATACAAATGGCAAGCATTCAATGCTGGGACAGAAATTCATTGTATGCATACATAAACATTGAAAACATTTGTCTCAGTATTAAAATATGTTGTTTAAAACTGTCTTGATCATCTGTGTCTAATCTAATTGGTCTGGTAAGGTTTCTTATTGCTGCTTTATTGCACTGTCCCAAAAGCTTGGTCCCACAGCCAAGTTTTTACATACAGACTTGTCCTGTCCTCTCTTTTTGCCCATGACCATGTGCTCTGTGTCAGAATATATATATATATACATACATATACATATATATATATTGGAGCATATATATATTGGAGCGTGTGTATATATATATATATATATATATATATATATACACACACACACACACACACACACACACACCAAAAGTATGTGTGTGTGTGTGTGTATACACATACTCTTTTGGTGTATATGTGTGTGTGTGTGTGTGTACACACACAGAGACACACGTATTTGGAGAGCATAGGGAAGAGTGAACATCCCTGTGGTGTTTCTTTTGTGGTCTGTGCCCCTGTTTGGAAGAATTCACCTTATTTTCCGTCCTGGTGATAATTGGAATTTGATAAATTTGGTTTGTTGTGGAAACAAGAAGTGGAGACCCCTCTCCTCCCCATAATAATTGTTCCAGGAGTGGATTTCCCTTCCAAGAGGGAATGATCTCACTTCCTGTTGTCTCATCCCTGTTTGTTTGTGTCATGATCTCTATCTCATGCCATCCAACTACCAGCCATTCTGACACTGAGCACATGGCCATGGGCCAAAAGGGAGGACAGGACATATGAACCAGCCATAAAACTCAATTGCCTTCAGGTGGGAGGAGAGTGGGCTCTGGAATGTGGAAAGGGACAACCTCAAGGTGCCAGGACTCTTGAGTGATTTGTGATATTGTAGCTAGGCTTATATGGAAGGGCAGTAGTGCAAGGCTCTTGTATTCCGAACAATAAAGAGGTATGGTATCTTCATCCTATGTGCGTCTTGCTGTCTTCTTTCTTTCAAGAGAAGACTAACCCACAGCAGCACAGTGGGACCTGAGAAACCTTACCTCTTTATTGTTTGACTGCCTGTATATTGAAGTTCTGGACTCCCCGGCTCATTTTGGGACTGGCTTTTTGGATTGAAAGGACATTCCTTTCCTTATAGGGCAACTCCGGCTTGGGGTTCAGCATCGCCGGCGGCACGGACAACCCGCACGTCGGGGATGATCCCAGCATCTTCATTACCAAAATCATCCCCGGAGGAGCAGCAGCACAAGACGGACGCCTCAGGTATTTATTATTATTATTATTATTATTATTATTATTATTATTATTGTATACCATTTTATCTTTCCCAAAGGAGACTCAAAGCAGCTAACGTTTTGTCGGTCCAGGTCTGTGTAGACTACAGATCCCATCACTCCCAGCCAGGACTAGGTGCATGAAACTTTCTAACCCAGGCATGGGCAGAGTTTGGCTCTCCCTCCAGGTGTTTTGGACTTCAACTCCCACAACTCCTAACAGCCTCAGGCTAGAGGGTTGAAGTTTGCCCATACCTGGGCTAGCCAAATGTCTTTGGAAAGGCTATGAAGATTTAAAAACCCTCCCTGGCTGGGAGTGATGGGTTCTGTAGTCCGCACACATTTACAGAATGAGGATGGCTTATATAGTATCTTGGTATAATATGCTAAGTCTGAATGCAAGCTTTAATGGAGCTCTCCATGGTCCTGAGCTCTCGGTTCAGCACCTTGGACAGTGCTTTAGAGATCCACTGTTAACTATGTGCATGCCATGAATCTTTGAGCTCGGGTTGAGTCTAGGTTTGCTGGTTCTAGAATTGCCTCTCCTAGCGTTTTTAATGCTGGACAATGACACAGCAGAAGCTTTATTACTGACTAGCGTATATAGCTGGCTCGTTCTTTCTTTCCTTCCTCCGTTTTCCTCATACACCTCCCACTTTCTTTCCTTTCTCTTTCGTTCTTTTTCTTTCTTCCTTTCTTTTCTCCCGTCTCCCTTTCTTTCCTTCCCTCTACTCATACCTTTTGTCTTTTACCCTTCCTTTCTGTTCCTTCCTTCCCTCCTTTTTCTTCCTTCCTTCATCCCTCCTTTCCTTCTTCCATTTTTCTATTTTATCCTCTCTTGTCTTCTCCCTTTTCCTTTCTGTTCCATTCATCCTTCCCTTCTTTTTTTTCTTCCTCCCCTTCCCTCCTTCCTTCCTTCCTTCCCTCCCTCCCTCCCTCCCTCCCTCCCTCCTTCCCTCCTTCCCTCCTTCCCTCCTTCCCTCCTTCCTTCCTTCCTTCCTTCCTTCCTTCCTTCCTTCCTTCCTTCCTTCCTTCCTCCTTCCCTTCTTGCCTTCCTTTCTCCCTGTCCTTTCTTTCTGTTCTGGGCCCAAATTGTTGTTGTTGTTGTTGTTATTGTTATTGTTCTGGTTTTTGTATAGTCAAAGGCTTTCATGGCCAGAATCACTAGTTTGCTGAGTTTTCTGGACTGTCTGGTCATGTTCCAGAAGCATTCTCTCCTGATGTTTTGCCTGCATCTATGGCAGGCATCCTCAGAGGTTGTGAAGTCTATTGGAAATTAGGAAAATTGGGTTTATATATCTGTGGAATGATGTCTAGGGTGAGAGAAAGAACTCTTGTTCTTTCTTGAAGCTGCAAGGCTATTCAGTGCTAATCAAGGTGGCAAATTACAACATTCGCACCTGCCAAGACAAGATGAATTCTTTCTCCCACCCTGGACATCATTCCACAGATAGATATGTGTGTGTGTGTGTGTGTGTATACACATCCACACACACACACACACACATGACACCCCACTTGCCTAGTTCCCAACAGACCTCACAATCTCTTATTATTGTTCTTGTTGTCGTTATTATTATTGGGTTGTTGTAGGGTTTTTTGGGCTATATGGCTATGTTCTAGAGCCATTCTCTCCTGACGTTTTGCCTGCATCTATGGCAAGCATCCTCAGAGGTTGTAGGATGCTTGCCATAGATGCAGGCAAAACGTCAGGAGAGAACGCCTCTAGAACAGAGGTCCTCAAACTCTTTAAACAGAGGGCCGGTCACAGTCCCTCAAACTGTTGGAGGGCTGGATGATAATTTGAAAAAAGCATGGATGAATTCCTATGCACACTGCACATATCTTATTTGTAGTGCAAAAAACACTTAAAAACAATACAATAATTAAAATGAAGAACAATTTTAACAAATATAAACTTATTACTATTTCAATGGGAAGTGTGGGCCTGCTTTTGGCTGAGGAGATAGGATTGTTGGTCTTGTTGTTGTGTGCTTTCAAGTCATTTCAGACTTAGGTTGACCCTGAGTGAGGGCTGGGTAGATGACCTTGGAGGGCCGTATTTGGCCCTTGGGCCTTAGTTTGAGGACCCCTGGTCTAGAACATGGCCATATAGCCCGGAAAAACCTACAACAACCCAGTGATTCCGGCCATGAAAGCCTTCGACAATACATTATTATTATTATTATTATTATTATTATTATTATTAATATCCCACTTTTTCCTCACCACAAGGATAGTCCTTTTAGTTCCAACATCTCAATTATTTTAAATCAGATAATGATCGCTACCAAGTTTGGTCCAGATCCATCAAGCCATGAAGGAGCCTTTTGTGATACAAATGGATAAGCAAGCGAATCAACCAATCAACAGTGAGAGGGAGGGAGGGAGAAAGAGAGAGAGAGAGAGAGAGAGAAGAGAGAGAGAGGGAGATGATTCCGTAGATAGTATCTCCAAAGCTTTTTATCAGTGGGGTCCAGGTCATTGCAATGGAATCCTGAGATTTCATAGTTTTGCAAGGTCTTTAGCTATCTTTGCAAGAGAGTGCTGATGCCTCACCAAACTACAACTCCCAGGATTCTATTGCGTTGAGTCACGGCAACTAAAGTTGTGTCAAACTGCATTCATTCTGCAGTGTAGATGCACCCTAGGGACCTCTAGGCCAGTGTTTCTCAACCAGATTTTTTGGCCTTCAACTCCCAGAAACCTTAACAGCTGGTAAACTGGCTGGGATTTCTGGGATTTGAAGGCTAAAACACCTGAGGACCCACAGGTTGAGAACCATGGCTCTAGGCCTTCCCCCCTGACTCAGCCTTTGTCCCTTCCTGTTTCAGGGTGAACGACAGCATCCTCTTTGTCAACGACGTCGATGTGCGGGAGGTGACGCACAGCACGGCGGTGGAGGCCTTGAAGGAGGCCGGCTCCATCGTCCGCCTCTACGTCATGCGCCGGAAACCCTTGGCGGAGAAGGTCATGGAGATCAAGCTGATCAAAGGCCCCAAAGGTGAGGAGGGGTCTTCTTCTGGTCCCAAATGTTTTGGATACGGGATTGTCAGCCTCTACATTCATTTTTCTTTGTGGTCTATCTCAGAAGGGCACCACTTCCTGTCACTGTTTTGGAAGGGGCGTCAGAATCAAAATCAATGCCTTACATTGTGCTCAGAGTCAAATGAGAACCCAAGATAAATTGCACACTCTTCACATTTTGGTCCTTCTTTCCCTTCCCTCTGCCCATTGTTCTTCCTTCTCTTCCTTTCCTTATTTCACCTGCTTCCTTCCCTTTTTCCCATCCTTTCCTACTTTTCTTCCTTCCTTCCCTCCCTCTTTCTTTCCTTCACTCCTTCCTTCTGACCCTTTTACCATCCTTCTTTCACTCCTTACTGCTTTCCTCCATCCTTCCATCCTTCTTTCTCTTGCCATACCTCCCTCCTTTCTGCCTTTCCTTTCCGCCTGTTCCCTTTCCTTAACTTCCTTCCCTTCCCCTTCCTTTCTTCATTTCCTCTCTCCCTTTCTTTCTTCCTTTTCCCTCCCTTCCCTTCCCTTGCTTCCCCTTCCTTTCCTTTCTTCCCTTCCCCTTCCCCTTCCCCTTCCCCTTCCCTTCCTTCCCTTCCCCTTCCTTCCTTCCTTCCTTCCTTCCTTCCTTTCTTCCTTCCTTCCTTCCTTTCCTTCCTTTACTTCCTTCCCTCCTTTCCTCCCTCCTTCCTTTCCCTTCCTTCCCTCCTTCCCTTCTCTTCTCTTCTCTTCTCTTCTCTTCTCTTCTCTTCTCTTCTCTTCTCTTCTCTTTCTCCTTTCCTTCTCTTCCTTTCTCTCCCCTTCTCCTTCCTCTCCTCTCTCTCCTTCCTTCCTCTCTTCCTCTCCTCTCCTCCCTTCTCTTCCTCTCTTCTCTCTCCTCTTCTCCTTCCTCCCTTCCTCCTCTTTTCCTTCTCTTTCTTCCTCTTCCTCCTTCCTTTCCTCTTTTCTCTTCTCTTCCTTTCCTCTCTCCTTCCTTCCTCCCTCTTCTTCCCTCTCTTCTCCTCTCCTCTCCTCTTCTCTTTTTCTTCTTTTTCTCCTCTCCTCCTTCCCTTCCTTCCTTCCCTTCCCTCCTTCTTTCATTCCCTCCCCTCCCTTCCTTTCTTTCCTTTTTCTTTGTAGGCCTGGGCTTCAGCATCGCGGGCGGTGTGGGCAACCAGCACATACCTGGCGACAACAGCATCTACGTCACCAAAATCATTGAAGGCGGTGCTGCCCACAAAGATGGACGCCTGCAGATTGGGGATAAGATTTTGGCGGTAAGGACTGGGGCCATCATGACTGCTGGGTTAATTTAATATTGTTATTGTTGTTGTTATTGTTGTTATTAGAGCCTCTTTTTGGTCTGGGACGCACAAAATGCACCAGATTGCCCCCTTCCATTGCTTTGGGGACACAAAAGGGCAGGTGCTGGGTGCGGCTCCTTGTCTGCTCCAATTAATGGGATTCAATGGGATTCAAACTGACTGCCTTGGGTCGCAATGTGTGGGAATGCAGTACCAATCATCCCCAGCCAGAAGGCTCATGGGTCTTGTAACCCCAACACATCAGAAGGAAAGAACCACCAGCCAGGGTTAATAGCTCGCTAGTCTACCATATGTGCGATTCACAGTTGACCACGATGGGAAAATATAGTTTTAATCCATTTAAGAATGTTTCTACCTGCTTACATGAAGTTTTAATTTGGGGGGGGGGGGGGGTTCTCTGCAGAGTGATGGGTTTGACAGTCCTTGTCCTTTTTCCTTTATCCCAAAACCAGGTGAACAACGTAAGCCTCGAAGACGTGATGCACGAAGACGCCGTGGCCGCCCTGAAGAACACGTATGACGTCGTCTACCTGAAAGTGGCCAAGCCCACCAACGTTTACCTGAACGACTCATACGCCCCGCCTGACATCACTTCCTGTGAGCGGCATCCTTTTCCTGTCTCGGGTGGTGGAGAATCCCTAAACAGATATCTGTCCAAATGTGTTGGATTGCAATGATTGCCCAAACAGACAACTTTGGACCAAATATTCTTGCAAAGTTCTGAATAGTATAGTCTTCAAGGTGTTTTGGACTACAACTCCCACAATTCCTAACAGCCTACTGGCTGTTAGGAATTGTGGGAGTTGCAGTCCAAAACACCTGGAAGGCCAAAGTTTGACTGTTCTGCACACTCCAGCACTCCAAATTTCCAACATTATTTTCTTAATGCAAAATGTCATTTCAAACTCTGCAATGGCATGTCTTTCTTTGTATTCATCATTGCATTGCTTTGCCAGCCTATTCCCAACACCTGGATAACGAAATCGGGCACCAGAGCTACCTGGGCACGGAGTACCCACAAGCCATGACCCCCACCTCGCCCCGGAGGTACTCCCCCATCCCCAAGGAGCTGATGGGCGAGGAGGACATTCCCAGGTAAGCCCCGCCTCTTCCTGGCCCCTCCCCCTGGGGGGGTGGGACCACAGAGCAGCAATACAGAAATTTTTGAGGTTCATTTCTCCATTATTTTTATGGTTATCAGGATGAAACTTGGCACATTTGTACATAATATTTTTATATTTAAACCTGCCAAGTTTCAGAGCATGTTGGCTATCCATTGATTTTTAGGAATTTTTCTTTCAAGTTTTTACAAATATTTTTTTAAAAAAACACTACAAGAGTTATCTCCTTGAATTTCTGTACAATGGGGCAACACAAGCAGGGTATTAATCCTGCAAAGTTTCAGAAAGATTTGTTCATCTGCTGATTTTTAGGAATTTTTAAAATATTTTTTTGTCAATTTTAGCTGACACTACAGCTTGAAACGCTCTAAAACAACAAATCTTTACTAATCTCTCCAAAATATTTCAGAGGCTTCCGTTTCGTTTAGTTTCATTTTGTAACGTTTTGGAGGGGTTCCCATTCCAATTAGCAATTTGGAGATTTGTAATAAAATAATAATAGTAATAATAATAATAATAATAATATTTTGAAACACAACAAGATTACTACACAGCAAAAAAACCACAATGCCAGCTTTTGTATTCGATCACACGTCGGGCACTTCCCAAGTGTCTAGGAATATGTGATGTATCGGAGAATAATGCGTACAGATTCCAGTAAAGTTGCCTTTTGCATCTGACAGAAGGTAATTTTGTCAGCGCTGATTGTTTTTTAGTGCAGGCCAAGGTCTTTAGGCACTGCGCCCAGTGTGCCAATAACCACTGGAACCCCCTTGACTAGCTTGTGCCAGAGTCTTTGCAGTTCGACCCTTAAATCCTCATATCGTCCTTCTCTTCAATCCTGCTCTCGCCTGGGATTATTATTATTATTATTATTATTATTATCTATATATAAAAAATGCTCTGTGCGTCATGAGTACCTTAAAAGCAAAAGAACCAACGAACGAAATCACACCAAATTTGGCAACAAAACGTCTCACAACACAAGGAGTGACCATCACTCAAAAATTAGGATTTTGTCATTTGGGAGTTGTAGTTGCTGGGATTTATAGTTCACTTACAATCAAATTCTGAACCCCACCAACGATGGAATTGAACCAAACTTGGCACACAGTTCTCCCATGACCAACAGAAAATACTGGAAGGGTTTGCTGGGCAGTGTCCTTTGGTTTTGGAGTTGTAGTTCACCTACATCCAGAAATCACTGTGGACTCAAACAATGATGGATCTGGACCAAACTCTACACCAATACTCAATATGCCCAAATGTGGAGTTTGGGGAAAATAGACTCTTAATATTTGGGAGTTGTAGTGCTGGGATTTATAGTACACCAACAATCACAAAGCATTCTGAACCCCACCAACAATAGAATTGGACCAAACTCTCACACAGAATCCCCATGTGGGCCACAGCAACGCTTGGCAGGGGACAGCTAGTTGTTGTTGTTGTTGTTATTATTATTATTATTATTATTATTATTATTATTATTATTGTTACTGGAGCCACCAGTGGCACAGCGGATCAAACCACTAAGTTGCAGGACTTGCTGACCGAAAAGTTGGCGGTTTGAACCCGGGGAGTGGGCTGAGCTCCCGCTGTTAGCCCCAGTTTCTGCCAACCTAGCAGTTCGAAAACATGCAAATGTGAGTAGATCAATAGGTACCGCATCTGCAGGAAGGTAACGGCACTATGTGAGGTATCGGCGAATAATGCATGCAGACCCCAGTAGGGTGGCCTTTTGCATCTGACAGAAGGTAATTTTGTCAGCGCCGATTGTTTTTAAGTGCAGGCCAAGGTCTTTAGGCACTGCACCCAGTGTGCCAATAACCACTGGGACCCCCTTGACTGGCTTGTGCCAGAGTCTTTGCAGTTTGATCTTTAAATCCTCATATCATGTCATAGAATCAAAGAAATTATAAAAATTATTATTATTTTATTTCTTACCTGCCTCTCCTCTTGGCTCGAAGTGGGTTAAAAAGTAAAGGTTTCCCCTTGATATTAAATCTAGTCGGGTGATGCTCATCTCCATTTCTAAGCTATATTTATGTATTGTGTCATCAGCAACCAGACATTTGTATTACATTTTTAACAAAAACAAACAGACAAAATACAAAATTTGTGAAGTTTGGTAGTTGATTAAATGTCCTTTGACCAGTATCTGGCCCCTTGGAGTGCCTCTGGTTTTGCCGCAAGAAGGTCCTCCATTGTGCATGTGGCAGGGCTCAGGTTGCATTGCAGCAGGTGGTCAGTGGTTTGCTCTTCTCCGCACTCGCATGTTGTGGACTCCACTTTGTGGCCCCATTTCTGAAGGTTGGCTCTACATCTCGTGGTGCCAGAGCGCAGTCTGTTCAACACCTTCCAAGTCGCCCCGTCTTCTGTGTGCCCAGGGGGGAGTCTCTCATTTGGTATCAGCCATTGATTGAGGTTCTGGGTTTGAGCCTGCCACATTTGGACTCTCGCTTGCTGAGGTGTTCCAGCGAGTGTCTCTGTAGATCTTAGAAAACTATTTCTTATAAGTCGTTGACGTGCTGGCTGATACCCAAGCGGGATGGGCTGGAGATGTCCCTGCCTTGGTCCTTTCATTATTGGCTGCTACTTCCCAGCGGATGTGAGGTGGTGCAATACCGGCTAAACAGTGTGATTTCTCCAGTGATGTAGGGCGCAGACACCCCGTGATGATGCAGCATGTCTCGTTAAGAGCCACATCCACTGTTTTAGCGTGGTGAGATGTGTTCCACACTGGGCATGCATACTCAGCAGCAGAGTAGCATAGCGCAAGAGCAGATGTCTTCACTGTGTCTGGTTGTGATCCCCAGGTTGTGCCAATCAGCTTTCGTATGATACTGTTTCTAGCGCCCACTTTTTGCTTGATGTTCAGGCAGTGCTTCTTGTAGGTAAGAGCACGGTCCAGAGTGACTCCCAGGTATTTGGGTGCGCTGCAATGCTCCAGTGGGATCCCTTCCCAGGTCATAATCCTCAGAGCTTGGGATGCTTGTCTGTTCTTGAGATGAAAGGCACATGTCTGTGTTTTAGATGGATTAGGGATCAGCTGGTTTTCCCTGTAAGAGGCAGTAAGAGCACCTAGACCTTCAGAGAGCCTCTGTTCAACCATCTCAAAGCTCCCTGCTTGAGCAGTAATGGCATGATCATCAGCATAGATGAAGCTCTCTGTCCCTTCTGGAAGTGGCTGGTCATTTGTGTAGATGTTGAACATGGATGGAGTGAGCACGCTCCCCTGAGGCAGGCCGTTCTTCTGTTTCCGCCATCTGCTTCTCTGGCCCTGGAACTCAACAAAGAAGCTCCTGTTTTGTAGCAGGTTTCCTATAAGGCAGGTGAGACGGTAGTTCTTTGTGATATTATACATTTTTCTCAGGAGGAGGCGGTGAAGAGCTGAAGAGCTGGCATTGTTCGTAGACACCTCCTAGGTCATGTGGCCAGCATGATTACATGGAGCGCAGTTCCCTTCCCGCTGAAGCAGAACCTATTGATCTACTCATATTTTCATGCTTTCGAACTGCTAGATTGGCAGAAGCTGTGGGAGCTCACCCTGCTCCTCGGACTTGAACCGCCGATCTTTCGGTCAGCACGTTCAGCAGCTCAGCGGTTTAACCTGCTGTGCCATCGGGGGCGCCTTGAGGCCGGTTACATAATGATTAAAACACACAAACATTGTAAGAAATACTACAGACATACATATTAAAACTTATTTCTATATTAACTACTCATACAAATCTCCGAATTACTATCTATCTATCTATCTATCTATCTATCTATCTTTCTAATGCCCTCTTGTGGTTGCATCTGAGCATCGCGGTGTCAGGCTCATGGGCTGCCAATGGAGGTCATTTTTAAAATATGGCAACAAACAAAAGGGGTTTAATTCTTAATTAGTATGTTAATTTGGATCACGAAGGGCATGTGTACCAAGTGTGGTTGAGATCCACCAAGTCACGTAGGAGCTTTTGAAGGACAAACATACATCTTTCCACATTTTTAGATATGGAAATTATGAATTATTGTTGTTGTTGTTGTTGTTATTCTTACAGGGAACCTCGCCGAATCGTCATCCACCGCGGCTCAACGGGGCTGGGCTTCAACATTGTGGGGGGCGAAGACGGCGAGGGGATTTTCATCTCCTTCATTCTGGCCGGGGGTCCGGCTGACCTCAGCGGAGAGCTAAGGAAAGGGGACCAGATCCTCTCGGTAAGGTGGCCATTGCTCCCTTGTCCTTGACAATTGACCCAGAGTGATGCTTGCTTCTTGGGTCTTCCTGCCTAGCAGAATGGGGTTGGACTGGATGACCTTTGGAGTCCCTTATGACTCTAAAATTATTTGATTCTGTGATTCTGTGGCCATCTTTCAGGAGGGCTTGGGTGGTGTCTTCCCATCTGGCAGAATGAGGTTGGACTGGATGACCGATCTTTGGTGTCCCATCCAACTCCATAATTCTTTGATTCTATGGCCATCTATTGGGAGAGTTTGGGTGGTGTCTTCCCACCTGGCAGGATAAGGTTGGACGGGATGACCGATATTTGGAGTCCCATCCAAGTCAATAATTCTATGATTCTGCGGCCATCTGTTGGGAGAGCTTGGATGGTGTCTTCCCACCTGGCAGAATAAGGTTGGACTGGATGGTCTATCTTTGGGGTCCCATCCAACTCCATAATTCTATGATTCTATGACCATCTGTTGAGAGAGCTTGGATGGTGTCTTCAGACCTGGCAGAATAAGGTTGGACTGGATGGCCTTTGGGGTCTCATCCAACTCCATAATTTTATGATTCTATGACCATCTGTTGAGAGAGTTTGGATGGTGTCTTCCCACCTGGCAGAATGAGGTTGGACTGGATGACTGATCTTTGGTGTCCCATCCAACTCCATAATTCTTTGATTCTATCTGTTGAGAGAGCTTGGATGGTGTCTTCCCACCTGGCAGAATGAGGTTGGACTGGATGGCCTTTGGGGTCCCATCAAACTCCATAATTCTATGATTCTATGTGTTGAGAGAGCTTGGATGGTGTCTTCCCACCTGGCAGAATAAGGTTGGACTGGATGACCAACCTTTGGTGTCCCATCCAACTCCATAATTCTATGATTCTATGGCCATCTGTTGGGAGAGCTTGAATGGTGTCTTCCCGCCTGACAGAATGAGGTTGGACTGGATGACCAATCTTTGGGGTCCTATCCAACTCCATAATTTTATGATTCTATGGCCATCTACTGAGAGAGCTTTGATGGTGTCTTCCCATGCAAGCCTGGCAGAAAGGGATTGGACTGGATGACCTTTGAAGGTTCCTTTCTAAGTCTTATTATTCGATGGTCATAGGTCTGAAAGGCTACCAGTTGAGTGAAACGTTCCTACCTGGCAGAACATGGGTTGGATTGGATGACCTTTTGGGGTCTCAATTTCTTTGATTCTGTCAATCTAACGGCCATTGGTTAGGAAGGCTTATATGGTGGGTGGCTATTGGATGGACCTTTAGGAGTGCCTTCCAAGTCTATAATTCCACAACCATCAGTCAAGAGGGCTTGAATGATGTCTTCGTTGCATGCGGTCCAACTCCAGCAGAGGCTGAATGGGCATCTGTTGGGAGGGCTCTGGTAGTGTCTTCCTGCCTGGCAGAATAGGGTCAGACTGGATGACCTTTGGGGGTCCCTCCTAACTCTACGGTTCCTACCCGCAGGTCAATGGTGTGGATCTCAGGAATGCGACGCACGAACAGGCGGCCATTGCGCTGAAAAACGCTGGGCAGACGGTCACGATCATCGCTCAGTACAAGCCGGACGGTGGGTTCTCCAGGGCGGGGAGGTTGGTTTATGTGGTCCTTGGGGTGATGGTCAAGGGATGCCGCAGACCCCCGTTCTAATCCCACCTCTCTTGCTACAGAATACAGCCGCTTCGAGGCCAAGATCCATGACCTTCGGGAGCAGCTGATGAACAGCAGTTTGGGCTCAGGGACAGCTTCGCTGCGGAGCAACCCCAAGCGGGGGTTTTATATACGGTGAGACCCCAAACGACCCCAGCCCACCCTCAAAATAACCTTGGCTGGAGAAAAAAAGTGACGTTTTTGCTCCCCATTTCTTCTCCTCCTCCTGTGCAGGGCGCTCTTTGACTACGACAAGACAAAAGATTGTGGCTTCCTGAGTCAAGCGCTGAGCTTCCATTTTGGTGATGTCCTCCATGTCATTGATGCTTCCGACGAAGAATGGTGGCAGGCGCGGCGCGTCCATCCGGATGGCGACAGCGACGAGATTGGGTTCATCCCAAGCAAGAGACGGTGAGGGAGGAAAGGGGGACATTTATTATTGCCTCCCCCCCCCAAAATGCCCATATGATTGGCCTCCCAAAAGCTCATATTATTTACCCCCCAAACACCCATGTTATTGATCCCCCAAATGCCCATATTATTCTCTCACATACCCATATTATTGCCCCCCCCAATGCCTGTATTATTGATCCCCCAAATACTCATATCTTTGATCCCCAAAATGCCCATATTATTGCCTCCAAATGCTCATATTATTGATCCCCTAAATGCTCATATTATTGGCCTCCCAAATGCCCATAATATTGATCTCTCAAATATCCATAATGTTGACCTCCCAAATGCCCATATTGTTGACCTCTCAATGCCCATTTTATTGACCCAACACCCATATTATTGCCCCCCCCAAATGCCCATATTATTGATCCCTCAAACACCCATATTATTGGCCCCCAAATGACCATATTATTGATCCCCTAAATGCCCATGTTATTGACCCCCAAATGCCCTTTTATTCACCCCAAACACCCATATTATTCTCCCAAATACCCATATTATTTACCCCTCCAATTGCTCATATTATTGATCCCCCAAATGCACATATCTTTCTTTCCCAAAATGCCCATGTTATTGAAATCCCAATGCCTATATTATTGCCCCCCCCAAAAATGCCCATATTATTGATCCCCTAAATGCTCATATTATTGGCCTCCCAAACGCCCATATTATTTTCCCCTCCAATTGCTCATATTATTGATCCCCCAAATGTCCAAATCTTTGATCCCCAAAATGCCCATATTATTGACCTCCCAATGCCTATATTATTACCCCCCCCCCAAATGCCCATATTATTGATCCCCTAAATGCTCATATTATTGGCCTCCCAAATGCCCATAATATTGATCTCTCAAATACCCATAATATTGACCTCCCAAATGCCCATATTGTTGACCTCCCAATGCCCATATTATTGGCTCTAAATGCCCATATAATTGGCCCCGGCACCCATATTATTGCCCCCAAATGCCCATATTACTGATCCCCTAAATGCTTGTATTATTGGCCCCCCAAATGCCCATATTATTGATCCCCTAAATGCTCGTATTATTGGCCTCCCAAATGCCCATAATATTGACTTCCCAAATGCCCATGTTGTTGACCTCCTAATGCCCATATTATTGGTCRCCGCACCCACATTATTGCCCCCCAGATGCCAATATTATTGATCCCCCAAATGCCCATATTATTGATCTCCCAAACACCCACATTATTGATCCCCAAACACCCATATTATTGGCCCCCAAATGCCCATATTATTGATCCCCTAAATGCCCATATGATTGGCCTCCCAAAAGCCCATATTATTCACCCCCCAAACATGCATATTATTCTCCCAAATACCCTTATTATTTCCCCCTCCAATTGCCCATATTATTGATCCCCCAGACACCCATATTATTGGCCTCCCAAATGCCCATATTATTGATCCCCCCAAACACCCATATTATTCTCCCAAATATCTATATTACTGGCCTCCCAATGCCCATATTATTGACCACCAATGACCATATTATTAGCCCCCAAATACCATATTATTGATCCCCAAATGCCCATATCGTTGATCCCCCAAATGCCCATATTATTGATTCTATAAATGCCCATATTATTGGCCTCCCAATGCCCATATTATTGCCCCCCAAATGCCCATATTATTGATTACCCAAATGCCCACATTTTGATTCCCCCAAATACCCACATTATTGACCTCCCAAGGCCCATATTATTGACCACCAATGACCATATTATTGGCCCCTCAAATACCATATTATTGATCCCCCAAATGCTCATATCATTGACCCCCAAATGCCCATATTATTGCCCCGCAAATGCCCATATTTTTGATTCCATAAATGCCCATATTTTTGGCCTCCCAAATGCCCATATTATTGATCCTCTCAAATGCCCACATTATAGACCTTCCAATGCCCATATTATTGCCGCCCAATGACCATATTATTGAATTTTGCTATTGTTAACCACTCTGAGTCGCCTAAGGGCTGAGAAAAGCGCTATATAAATGAAGTAAATAAGTAAATAAATAAATATTATTGGCCTCCCAAAGGCCCATATTATTGGTCCCCCAAATATCCCTATTATTGACCTCCCAAATGCCCATATTATTGACTTCCCAAATGCCTATATTATTGAACTCCCAAATGCCCATATTATTACTGGCCTTCTTCCTTCTCCTCTTCTTCAATTCTTCATTATTATTGCTGTTACCACCACTTCTCAAGGCTCAAGGTGAGTTACAACATAATTAGAATACATAAGAACGTGTAACTATTCCAAACACATAAGATTATTAAATACATTAAAATTGTTCAGCACAATAAAATGTCAACATATAATTCCAAATGGACTGAGGTTCCCGCCTTTGTTTACAATCCCTCTTCCTGGGCAGAGTACCAAAAAAATAAGTCCTTACCTTTCAGACTGTAACCTAACAAACTGAGTGGATTGCAGAGCCAAATTAATTCACACTTTCGGTCTGAGTTCACCCTTCTTTCTTTCCGCTTGTCTCTTTTAGGGTCGAGAGACGGGAATGGACGCGGCTAAAAGCAAAAGTGAGTTTGGGACACATTTGGAACCCCTTTGTCACCAGCATGCTCACAATAGAAGATTCCTGTTGTATTAAACTACGTATCTCACAATCCCCAAACAAGATGATGGGTATTGGAGTCCGCCTTATCCGGAGGAAGGGGGTGATTGAGAAGGGATGCTCACATAGTGTTTGCTCCTCTATTCCCATCAGGAAGAGTCCTTTGTAGGGTGTAAATACACCAGACATGGGCAAACTTCGGCCCTCCCTCCAGGTGTTTTGGACTTCAACTCCCACAATTCCTAACAGCCTAACGGCTGTTAGGAATTGTGGGAGTTGAAGTCCAAAACACCTGGAGGGAGGGCTGAAGTTTCCCCTAAGATAGACTCTTAGTGGTATGCCCCAGTTCTTCTCTTCCGCTTGCACTCGTCCTTCCTTTCTTGCTTCCTTCTTTTTTCTCTTCCCTTGCTTTCCTTTCCTCATTCTCTCTTCCTTCCTTCCTTCCTTCTCTAGGATCGGGTGCCAGGATCAGGTTCTCAAGGTGGGTGCCTTTTTCCAACTCTCTGTCCTTCTCAGCCTTCTGTTTTTGCTCTGTTTCTAAACCTATATAGAGAAATACTTTCCACATTTCAACATCTAAAACAGGGCAGCCATCTTTTGTTTTGCCCATTTTCCACTCCACTTGTGCCCAAGGGTTACGGGTTCGAGTTCAGCCTCCACGTCACATCAAAGTTGGCGTCTAAACTTTTGAATAACTTCAGTTTGACATCGCTTTGACTTGCCATAGCTCATTATTACCATGTAATGTTGGGAGCTGTAGTTTGCCAAGTAGAGGGAGTTGTCAAACTACAGCTCCCAACATTATGACAACTCCCAGAATTCTATTGCATTGAGCCATGGAAGTTCAAAGTGGGATCAAACTGTTTCAATTCTCCAGTGTGGATGCATCCCCTGTTAAAAAGGGACCCAAGAAAGTTTTGGGGTGTTTCATTTGGGTCTCTGGAAAGGTATAACAGCGTCCTTCTTTCCCTTCCAGGTCGGGAAGATGCCGTCTTAAGCTACGAAACTGTTGTACAAATGGAAGGTAAGCTTCCTGTTGTTTTTTCAGCCTCTTTTATACCTTGCAATCAGCATACAACAGAGAGTAAACAATCAGGCACATCAAATCACTCTCAACAAAAGATTCCCCCCAGGCACTTCCAAGCCATTAAATGGTAATCAAGGTGGTCAGTTGAAACATTTACACCTAGCTCCAGCAGACAAAAGTCCTTTGTCCCACCCTGGTCATTCCACAGATATATAAACCCTTTTTCCTACTTCCAACAGACCTCACTACCTCTGAGGATGCTTGCCATAGATGCAGGCGAAACGTCAGGAGAAAATGCCTCTAGAACATGGCCATATAGCCCGGAAAAACCTACAACAACCCAGTGATTCCGGCCATTAAAGCCTTCGACAATACAGCATACATTTTCTTTGGACTTGTTCATTGGGGATTGTGGGAGCTGCAGTCCAAAAACAAACCCTAATTCTGGTTAAAGTGTCACTATTTCCATTGCCAAGTGTTGCTGTCTTCTGTAGCTGTAAAGAGGTGTTCTAGGTATCCGCTAACGTTGGGGTTCTTCATACTCAAGGGGTGTTTTCGGTATCGGGACTGGTGTTGTCGTTGTTATTATTATTTGAAACACAACAAGATGAGTCCACAGCAGACAAGATCACTTTGCTGGCTGTTGTATTGGATCAGACGTCGGACACTTCCCAAGTGTCTAGGACTGTGTGATGTATCTGCGAATAATGCGTGCAGATCCCAGTAAGGTGTCCTTCTGCAGCTGGCAGATGGTAATCTTGTCAGCACCGATTGTGTTTTAGTGCAGGCCAAGGTCTTGAGGCACTGCACCCAGTGTGTTTCCCCTTGACATTAAGTCCCAGAGAGTAGGATTATAATACTATATCATTACCTTTTGTCCCTGGGAAGGTAGTGATGATGATGATGATGATTATTATTATTATTATTAGAAACACAACAAGATGAGTCCACAGCAGACAAGATCACTCTGCTGGCTGTTGAATTGGATCCCACGTCGGACCCTTCCCAAGTGTTTAGGACTGTGTGATTATCGGCGAATAATGCATGCAGATCCCATTAAGGTGGCCTTCTGCAACTGGCAGGTGGTAATCTTGTCAGTGCTGATTGTCTTTAAGTGCAGGCCAAGGTCTTTAGGCACTGCACCCAGTGTGCCAATCACCACTGGGACCACCTTGACTGGCTTGCGCCGGAGTCTTTGCAGTTCCATCTTTAAATCCTCATATTGTGCCAGCTTTTCCAGTTGTTTCGCTTCAATCCTGCTGTCACCTGGGATTGCGACAGCGACAATCCATACTTTGTTTTTTAACACGATTTTGAGGTCAGGAGTCTTGTGCTTCAGAACTCTGTCTGTCTGAATTCAGAAGTCCCAGAGTAGTTTGACGTGTTCATTTTCTGTAACTTTTTCTGGCTTGTGGTCCCACCAGTTCTTTGTGGCAGGCAGATGGTCTTTGTGGCACAAGTTCCAGTGAATCATCTGAGCAACAGTGTTGTGCCTCTGCTTGTAGTCTGTCTGCTGATTTTCTTGCAGCAGCTGAGGATGTGATCTAATTATTATTATTATTATTATTATTATTATTACTATTATTATATTTGGTGTTATATTACCTCCCAAACCTTCCCTCATGGTAACCCTTTTTGCAATCTCTCCCCTAGTGCACTACGCCCGGCCCATCATTATTTTGGGGCCCACCAAGGATCGAGTCAATGACGACCTCCTATCCGAGTTTCCCGACAAATTTGGCTCCTGTGTCCCACGTGAGTGTTATCACCCCGGGTTTTGGGATGGGATGGGGTACATCATAGAATCATAGAGCTGGAAGGGGCACCCAAGAGCCATCTAGTCCAGCCTCCTTCTTTCTGACAGCCAGGAAGCCAAAATCCAAGCCCTCCCGACAGATGGCCATCCAGCCTCTGCTTAAAGACCCCAAGAGAAGGAGACTCTGCTCCTTTTCCAAAGCAGCGTATTCCATGGTCAAATAGCTCCTACCATATGGAAGCTCTTCCTAATGTTTAGGTGGAATCTCTTTCTTGGAGTTTGAATCCCTGGTTCCATTGTGTCCTAGTCTCTAGAGAAGGGCTTCTTAAACCTTTCTACTTAGGACCGCTTTTGGCTTGAGAAATTTTTAAATATGACCCTGAGTATATAAGGATATAAAATCCAAATAACAACCAAACATTTACTCATAACAAATCAACATTTGCAAGGCTCACCAAACAGGCTGATTTTCCTTTCCATGAAGTACAGCTAAAGCATCTTCTGCGGAGTCTATTGTCAATGCTGCACAACAAATTAGTTTAAATGCCTAAAACAGCCACTAGGTGGCATTCAGAAAACTTGTATTGTTGTCAAATTTTTTTTGGAACCTCAACATTGAGGAAAGGGGTCAGGACTCAGAGGGTTTGGTTTCCAAACATTGATAATTTTGGTTGCTCTCTGGACACCTTCCATCTGGTCCCAGAGGTAGACACAGTTTTCCAGGTGAGTTCTGGTCAAAGCAGAGACTTCTGAGATCCAGTCCCATATCTGAAGATGGACCTGAACTGTTACGCATGCTTCCTTCTGCAGATACCACGCGACCGAAACGGGAATATGAAGTCGATGGTCGGGACTACCATTTTGTGGCCTCGCGGGAGAAGATGGAGAAGGATATCCAAGGCCACAAGTTCATTGAGGCCGGGCAGTACAACAGCCACCTGTATGGGACGAGCGTCCAGTCGGTGCGCGAAGTGGCCGAACAGGTAATGCAGATGGAGAAGGTAAAGGGCTGCATTATGGGAAGAAATATGACAAGGATCTTAGCAAAAATGTCCTGCAAGATCTGGAAAGACAAAGTCCCCAATAACAATATGCAACAAAATTTGGAAAAACATTGAAAGTGTTTAATTGTGCGGTACTTACTTTGGAAGTAGTTGTTATACTCTCAAAACATTTTGTGGCTGCCACAAACTAGGTTGAATTGGTTGAGATGTGCAGCAAGATGTTCGAAAAAACTTTTTTCAAGTTTTTATGATAGAACCAATTAGGAAATGACATTTATAACAAAAATAGTGTAATTGGAACCAAAATATATTTCTACCTGGAGAATTTAAGAAATAATTTTTGACCCAAAATAAATGCAATTCTAAAAGCCATGGTTATTTTTTATCTTTCACAACTTGTAGCATGTCATCAAAGTACTGCAATAAAAATATCAATTTCTTCTGATCTTTTACAACTACTAGCATATCATCAACGTATTGTAATAGAAAAACTCTGGTAACTTCTGAGCTTTCACAAATAGCTTGTCATCTGAGTATTTGTCTTGTGATGGCAAATGTCACCTTGCCACTCTGGTGAGATGTTTGGCCTCTCTGGATCCCCATCTTTGTGCTGAAAAACCGACTCACCAACTTTGGGGCCACCCTAAAACAGACCCTTTTCCTGTCTCCCTTGTCCAGGGCAAGCACTGCATTTTGGACGTCTCAGCCAACGCTGTGCGGAGACTGCAGGCGGCTCAGCTCCACCCAATCGCCGTTTTCATCCGGCCGCGCTCCCTCGAGAATGTCCTGTGAGTGGCAAAAATTGAGTGTGGATTCAGGGTAGAGGGAGGGAAGGAAGGAAATGACTCTCTCTTAGCGTCTATCACAGCGTTTCTCAACCTGGGGGTCAGGACCCCTGGGGAGGTCATGAGGGGGTATCAGAGGGGTCACCAAAGACCATTAGAAAACACAGTATTTTCTGTTGGTCATGGGGGTTTTGAGTGGGAAGTTTGGCCTAATTCTATCATTGGTTGGGTTCAGAATGCTTTTTGGTTATAGGTGAACTATAAATCCCAGCAACTATAACTCCCAAATGACAAGGTCTATTTTCCCCAAACTCCAGGAGTGATCATATTTGGGCATTTTCAGTATTCATGCCAAGTTTGGTGCAGATCCATCATTGAGTCCACAGTGCTCTCTGGATGTTGGTGAACTACAACTCCCAAACTCAAGGTCAATGCCCCACAAACCCTTCCAGTATTTTCTGTTGGTCATGGGAGTTCTGTGTACCAAGTTTTGTTCAATTCCATCATTGGAGTTCAGAATGTTCTTTGATCGTAAGTGAACTATAAATCCCAGCAACTACAACTCCCAACTTCAAAATCAATCCCTCCCCCAACCCCATCAGTATTCAAATTTGGGCGTATTGGGTATTTGTACCCAATTTGGCCCAGTGAATGAAAATCCATTCTGCATATCAGGTATTTACATTACAATTCATAACACTAGCAAAATTACAGTTATGAAATAGCAGCGAGAATAATTGTATGGCTGAGGGTCACCACAACATGAGAGGGTTGCTGCATTAGGAAGGTTGAGAAACACCGCTCTATCACAAGATTGAGGGATGAATGTGTGATAAGATGCATGGTTAACTTGCAGAACTCATTGCCATAGGATGTAGTGGCATCAATCAGTGATACCCATTTCAATAGGGCAGGGAATCCTTCCCAATTTTTAGGCCCATCCCTAATGTCCATTTTGTGGTTTCAACACCTTGGACAGCTTGCTCAGAAATTCAGACTAAAACACAACTGAAATCACTGATATGGAGATGACCAACCACCATTGAAATGTGTCATCAAGGTCTTCAGTCAGGATGGCTTTAAAATAGAGTTATATAGAGAAGAATGGAGTCATTTGTGGCTACATGGGCTTCCTATTTGAACTCACAATGTTGGATTAGAGACACATCTGACCTGATCCTAGATGCTTTTGTACATGTTCAGGGAGTAGGAAGAACTACTACTCCCAGAATCCTCTAGGTACTGTGGTCACCACCAGAAGAACTCTGGGATTTGTGTTCTGAAAAAATGTAACATACCTACATCTCTGTATATGAGTATATGAGGGGCTCTACAAGGTCTGGTTGTGGTGGTTGACACAGAAGCCAACAGCTTGCCACTGATTCCTAAAGAAGTAACTTCTCCACAATCTCTTAAGAGAAAACCATGATGGAGGTTGGGAGGTGTTTTGGGGACTCTCCTGTCACGATGCCAGGGCTCTGCCTTACTCAGGTAGAGATGAACCAAACAAACTCCCAGTTTGTGTTAAACAATTTAATTAAAGCAGCACTTACTTTCTGGCTGTTTTAATAGTCCAAAACATAAAACATAAAGAATATATAACAGAATATACAACAAAACTGACAACAAATGCTGTTGCAGGTTCAAGATAACACTGTAGTCAAAAGGTCCAGTCCAGTGGTCAAACGCCGAGAGTTCAGTGAGCAAAGTCCAGGGATCAAGAGTCTATACCGTAGTCAAAAGCCAGTCCAAAGATTCAAGGTTCCAGGGTTCTAAGGGTTCAATAGACAGGTCAGGGTACCAAAAATCAACAAACCTGGGGGAAAGCCAGCAGCATCTACCACCAAAATAAGACAAATACTTTTCTCCTGAAGATCAGTCCCAAGGCTAGCTCCTTATATCCAGAAACACCCAGCTGCAACCTATCTCTTGCATATATCCACCCTTAATTGCTTTCACCCACGAACTCTTACTTACAGATTACTCAACCCTTTAGAACAGTGGTTCTCAACCTGTGGGTCCACAGATGTTTTGGCCTTCATCTCCCAGAAATCCTAACAGCTGGCTGGGATTTCTGGGAGTTGTAGGCTAAAATACTTGGGGACCCACAAGTTGAGAGCCACTAATCTACAGAGATACTGTCACGATGCTAGGGCTCTGCCTTATACAGGTAGAGATGAACCAAACAAATACCCAGTTTGTATCAAGCAGTTTAATTAAAACACCTGGGGACCCACAGGTTGAGAACCACTGCTTTAGAACTAAGACTTACATTAACCCTTCCATCACCAACTGCTAGGCGCCTACCACCAACAACTGCAGAACATGATACATGACATCTCCCATCCTGAGTTTCCATCCCGTCCTTATTTTCTTCTGCAGAGAAATTAACAAGCGGATAACAGAGGAGCAGGCACGGAAAGCCTTCGACAGAGCTACGAAACTTGAGCAGGAGTTTACAGAGTACTTTTCGGGTGAGTAAACTTTGGGTGCCCAAAACTGTGGGTAAAGAACCCATTTAATTAAATCTAGTTTGCATGGGCAAACTTTGGTCTCACAGGTGTTTTGGATGTAAACTCCCACAACTAGTAGCCAGTCATCAACGTATTGTAATTGGAAAAAATCCAATTTCTTCTGATCTTTCACAACTACTAGTATATCAACAACGTATTGTGATTTTATAAAAAACTATCCAGTTTCCCTGATCTTTCACAACTACTAGCATATCATCAACGTATGTGATTAAAAACTATCCAGTTTCTTCTGATCTTTCACAACTACTAACATATCATCAACATATTGTGATATGCAAACTCTAGTAACTTCTGAGCTTTCACAAATAGTAGGCTATTAGGAATTGTGGGAGTTGAAGTCCAAAACACCAGGAGGGAGGTCCAAAGTTGGCCCATGCCTGATGTAGTTGCTCTCCCAAAACTGCTCTCCTTTTCCTTCCTATTTCCTTCTGGCCCTTTTCTTGACCACTCCCTACTTCTTTTTATCTTCCATAGCCATCGTAGAAGGAGAAAGCTTCGAAGAGATCTACCACAAGATCAAGCGGATCATCGAAGAGCTCTCCGGCCCCTACATCTGGATCCCCGCTCGTGAGAGACTTTAGGAGCTATGACGAACTGCTTTCTTTCTTTCTTTTTTCGTTCTTTTTTCCGGGAAGAAGGGATCGTGAAAAACCAACCACCGACTCTCTCTTTCTCTCTCTGCGACGGAGGCCTCTCCAGCAAAGGAGGCGGCCCTCTCCGCCTCTTGCCACTGAACTTAGCTCTTTTGGTTCATATTTGGGGGGATCGGGTTGGGGAATGTCTCGGGATGGGCTTCTTTCATCCCTTCCTTTATTCTTTAATATTCTCATATATATATATTTTCCAGTCCTTTTCTTTTCTTTCGTGTGATCTGGCCACCCACCCCACCCCCCTTCAACCTTAATCCTGGTTCGAAATGCTCCCTTTATTATTATTATTATTTCTTAAAATATCCACAGCAACGGGGGTGCTTTTTTTCTCTTCCCCTCCTATCCCCAACAGCGCTAGCGCATGCATGCTGTCTTTTTGGTGGCATTTTGGGAGGAAAAAAATAACATTTTGGGAGGGTCCCCTCCTTTTTTATATAATTTTTTGAAGTGTTCAGGTCATTGGAGGAAGGCAGAGTAGAAAGGAAGAAGCAAAACTTAGGAAGGAAGCAGGAAGGTTTTGTAAGACAAAGGAAACATTAAGAAGACAGAAGGAAACATTAGGAAGACAGAAGGAGAGCTTAGAAAGATAGAAAGAAAACACAAGGTGGAAGGAACATTTAGGAAGACAGAAGGAAAAATTAGGAAGGTGGAAGGAAAATTTAGGAAGATGGAAGGAAACATTAGGAGGACAGAAGGAAAACCAAGGAAGGTGGAAGAAAACATTTAGTAACAAGGAGGGAACATTGAGAAAGACAGAAGGAAAATTTAGGAATGTGGAAGGAAACATTTAGAAGACAGAAGGAAAACTTAGGAAGGTGGAAGGAAACATTTAGGAAGACAGAAGGAAAACTTAAGAAGATGGAAGGAAACATTAGGAAGACAGAAAGAAAAGTTAAGACAAAAGCAACCTTTAGGAAGATAGAAGGAAAACTAAAAAGGATGGAAGGAAAGCTTAGGAAAAAGGAAGTACTTAGGAAGACAGAAGGAAAAATTAGGAAGCTGGAAGGAAAATTTAGGAAGATGGAAGGAAACATTAGGAGGACAGAAAGAAAACCAAGGAAGGTGGAAGGAAATATTTAGGAACAAGGAAGGAACGTTGAGGAAGACAGAAGGAAAACTTAGGAAGGAGGAAACATTTAGGAAGACAGAAGGAAAAGAAAACTTAAGAAGATGGAAGGAATGGAGAGGAAACATTTAGGAAAACAGAAAGAAAATTTAAGAAGATAGAAGGAAACATTAGGAAGACAGAAGAAACATTTAGGAAGACAAGGAAAACTAAAAAGAATGGAAGGAAAGCTTAGGAAAAAGGAAGTATTTAGGAAGGCAGAAGGAAACATTTAGGAAGACAGAAGGGAAATTAGGAAGACAGAAGCAAAGATTAGGAAGACAGAAGGAAAAAATTAAAAAGACAAGGAAGTATTAGGAAGACAGAATGAAGGGTTAGAAAGACAGAAGGGAAAATTAAGAATACAAAAGGAAAGACACAAGTAATTTCCAAAGTATTTCCAAAGCAACTTTCGGCAAAAAAAAGAAGCCGCTTTTTGATAAGTTTTACCTTTATTTCTCTCTTTGTTTTTCCTCATAGAGGAGGCCAATTTTGGAAATGAAAGTTTGGTGACTCCTTTTTATTGTGTTTTTATCACCCTAAAAGCAAAAAAGGGGATGCGTTTGGACCTTTTGGTTGGAAACAAAAAGCAGTCCGACATGAAAACAATTTCCCGTGCAAAGTTTCATTCCGTTTCCCATTGAAATTTACATTCACATTCCTTTCCGCTGTATTATCTTTTTGGCTGAGAATATATTTTACGACCGAAACAAGCACAGATCCGGGACTTTTCACGAAGCCAAGATCATTCTTGCTTGCAAGTACAGTCTGATGACTTTGGGATATATAATATAGAGATATATTATATATTATTGCTATTCTTCTTAATATTATTATTCTTATTTTTGGGTTGAGCTTTTTTCTCTCTTTTCTCTCTTGATTTTCCTCTTTCCATTTTTATTTTCCCCTTCTTCTCTGCATGGAGGTGACATGCGGCTTCAAGGCTTAACCAAGAAGGTGAGGAAAATCAAAACTAAACAACAACAACAACAAAAAGGGAACCATTTTGCTGATCTATATTTTTCATTCCGGGGGAAGGGGAGGAAAAAAAATTAGGGAGAGAGAAGATTTTAAAAAATAGAGTTTTTCAGTGTCCTGTGACTTATTTTTTTGGGGTCATATCAAGTATTTTGGTGCGGCTGTGTGTGATGTATGAAAACTAAAAACAAAAACATTACAAAAGGAGAACAGTTTTTTTCGGGGAGGGAGTTCTATCTATTTCAGAGGGCTGCTTTTTTGAGTTCGCAAGGGGAAGAAGTTTAATTTCCAAATCTCTAATGGATTATTCTTCTTATTATTTTTTTGTATATAAAGAAAAACACAAAAGAGAGAATGGACTTTGTCCCCCTTACCCTTTTCCACCGACGGAACCGTTTGTGAGCCCCCCGCAAGATGCAAAAACAGTGCAAAATTGTATAGGGAAGGATAGAGGGAAATGATGGGTTTAATATTAGGAAAGAAAGAGTTTAAATGATGAGTTTAATATGAGGAAAGAAAGAGTTCCTCTATCTCAATTAGAAAGGTTGTCTTCTTTGGTGGCTGCAAAATCAAGCAACGCAGATTCGGCGTTTCGGTTTCCCCTTTTTCCTGCTCCAGAAGCCAGCCAAGTTAATCTCATTCTCAGAGTAAACTCATGCTAGACAGTTTTCCAGACTTCACTTCCCAGAATCCCTAACAAAGCAGCCAAGGCTTCTAGGAGGTGAAGCTCAAAACATCTGGAGGTCAGGAGTTTGGAAATTGATACCATGGAGAAAGAGCTTCCATTTATCCATACCAGAGCCTCAAGTAGACATGATTTGGGTACAACTACACCAAGCATGGGCAAACTTTGACCCTCCAGATGTTTTGGACTTCAACTCCCACAATTCCTAACAAACTACTGTTTGAGAAAGCTCAGATGTTACTGGAGTTTGCTTATCACAATATGTTGATGATATACTAGTAGTTGTGAAAGATCAGGAGTAGCCACAGCTTTTTCAATTGCATTATCTATCGTCCAAAACAAGCATGGGCAAACTTCGACTCTCCAGGTGTTTTGGACTTCAACTCCCACAATTCCTAACAACCTACTGCTTGAGAAAGCTCAGATGTTACTGGAGTTTGCTTATCACCATATGTTGATGATATGCTAGTAGTTGTGAAAGATCAGAAGGAACTGGATCTTATAAAATCACAATACGTTGATGACCTGCTACTAGTTGTGAAAGATCAGGAGTAGCCACAGCTTTTTCAATTGCATTATCTAGCGTCCAAAACAAGCATGGGCAAACTTCGACCCTCCAGGTGTTTTGGACTTCAACTCCCACAATTCCTAACAACCTACTCTTTGAGAAAGCTCAGATGTTACTGGAGTTTGCTTATCACAATATGTTGATGATATACTAGTAGTTGTGAAAGATCAGGAGTAGCCACAGCTTTTTCAATTGCATTATCTATCGTCCAAAACAAGCATGGGCAAACTTCGACCCTCCAGGTGTTTTGGACTTCAACTCCCACAATTCCTAACAACCTACTATTTGAGAAAGCTCAGATGTTACTGGAGTTTGCTTATCACAATATGTTGATGATATACTAGTAGTTGTGAAAGATCAGAAGGAACCCGATCTTATAAAATCACAATATATTGATGATATGCTAGTAGTTGTGAAAGATCAGGAGTAGCCACAGCTTTTTCAATTGCATTATCTATCGTCCAAAACAAGCATGGGCAAACTTCGACCCTCCAGGTGTTTTGGACTTCAACTCCCATAATTCCTAACAACCTACTATTTGAGAAAGCTCAGACGTTACTGGAGTTTGCTTATCACAATATGTTGATGATATACTAGTAGTTGTGAAAGATCAGGAGTAGCCACAGCTTTTTCAATTGCATTATCTATCATCCAAAACAAGCATGGGAAAGCTTGGGCCCTCCAGGTGTTTTGGACTTCAACTCCCACAATTCCTAACAGCCTACCGGCTGGGAGTTGAAATCCAAAACACCTGGAGGGCCAAAGTTTGCCCATAGCACAGCCTTTAGACTGGGAAAATGGACAATTTGTTTCCCCCCTCTCAATTCCATGCCACCAAAAGGTCTCCCCCCCCCCCTATTCTTTTTATTTTCCCTTTTGGAACTAAACTTCCAAGCAAAGCCAACAAAGAAGGATAGGAGGAAACCAAGGAGAGACGGCAAAAAGGAGCAGAGGGATACAAATGCCCCGTATAGGCAACAAAAGGGGCTGCAGGCCCATCTGGCCATCCATGTGCCCTCCTCCTTCGCCCACAATTATATGGACCGAAGTCTCGGAGGAGCAAGAATGGGGGTTTTATTCTCCCTGACCATGAGTGCAGGGGTCACCTGAGGTCACGTGTAGCCCAGTGATTCTGACTCCCGCCCCTTTGCCTCCCTCCGGAGCCCACCAGAAATGGCGATGCTGCTCCAAAACAGAGGAAAGGGAGACCTGGCTTTTGAGCCCAGCAAAAAGGGACCGGAGGCCTGCCTTTCCTCCGGCCCTGGGTTCGAGAGGCGCCTCTCCTCTTGTGCCGACCGACTCCTCAAGGGCTTAACTCACAAGGGACGGGATCCCTCTGGCTCCCCTCCTGCTGCCTCCAAATATATATCTGTAGATATAGATATAGATATATATAATATATAGAAAGTGGAAGTGTGTTGGCGCTGAACAAAAAAAAATACAGGCTCTGAAGGCTTCCTTCCCTCCTCCCCCGGGGCATTATTTAAAGTAAAATTGAAAAAAAAATAAAACCTTATTATAAAAACAAACAAACACACAGACAAAAAAGAGGCTGTAATGGAAAGTTGTTTCTTGCTGGGGGTCCATGTGAGGTTTGTTGGGGGTGGGTGGGGGCGGGGACTTGGGGTGGGGAGATATAAGAGAGTATTTTGCATAGAAATATTATCGCCTTCGGCAACGAATAATTAAAAACCAATGAAAATCCACCTGGTTTGTGTGGTTGTGTGTTTTTCTTCTTTGCGGGGTTAGGCTAGAATTTGGAAAAATGTGTTACATAGTGTTATGAATAAGGAAAGACAAACGAGCAGCAATTACTTTTGCTCGACTCGACTGGGAAGGACAGGATCTAAGCCCATCTCCTCTCTTGCCTCCTGAGTTGAACACAAGCTGCTTTTGCACTTTGAACCCAGATTGCAGGAAGCGAAGCAACTGAGGACCAAAGTGGGGGGAACAGAGAGAAGCCAGGACATTTTCAAGAGTTGAGAAAGTGGGACAGCAGAGAGTTAATGGGGTGGATAAATAAAGGTGGATAGATCACAGAATCAAAGAGTTGAAGGAAACCAACCCCCAGTGGGCAGGTAGATGACAGACAAAAACAGATAGATGATAGAATCATGGAAGAGACCCCAAGAGTCATCTATTCCCATCTCCTAAAATGATAGATTAGATGGATGACAGAATCATGGAGTTGGAAGGGTCATCAGTCCAACCCTCTAAAATAGAGGATAGATGAAATAGATAGATAGATAGATAGATAGATAGATAGATAGATAGATAGATAGATAGGTAGATAGGTAGGTAGATAGGCAAATTGATTGATTGATTGATTATTGATTGGCTGATTGATTCCTAGAATTGGAAAAGACTCCAAGAGTCATCCAGTCCAACCTTTAAGAGATAGATTATAGATTGCTAGAGCTAGAAGAGACTCCAAGGGCCATCCATTCCAACTTTTAAGACATATATGATAGATAGATAGATAGATAGATAGATAGATAGATAGATAGATAGATAGATAGATAGGCAAATTGATTGATTTATTGATTATTAATTGGCTGGTTGATTCCTAAGAGTTGGAAAAGACTCCAAGAGTCATCCAGTCCAACCTTTAAAAGATAAGATTATAGATTCCTATAGTTGGAAGAGACTCCAAAGGCCATCCATTCCAACCTTTAAGAGATATATGAGAGATAGATAGGCAAATTGATTGATTGATTGATTATTAATTAGCTGGTTAATTCCGAGTTGGAAAAGACTCCAAGAGTCATCCAGTCCAACCTGTAAGAGACAGATTATAGATTCGTAGAGCTAGAAGAGACTCCAAGGGCCATCCATTACAACTTTTAAGAGATAGATAGATAGATAGATAGATAGATAGATAGATAGATAGACAAATTGATTGATTGATTATTAATTGCCTGATTGATTCCTAGAGTTGGAAAAGACTCCAAGAGTCATCCAGTCCAACCTTTAAGAGATAGATTATAGATTCCTAGAGCTAGAAGAGACTCCCAAGGGCCATCCAATCCAACCTTTAAGAGATATATGATAAATAGGCAAATTGATTGATTATTGATTGGCTGATTGATTCCTAGAGTTGGAAAAGACTCCAAGAGTCATCCAGTCCAACCTTTAGGAGATAGATTATACATAGGCAGACTGATAAACAGATAGATAAACAGATAAATAGATTTATTGATTGCTAGAGTTGGATGAGACTCCAAGGGTCATCCAGTTCAAACCCCCATGATAAATGGATAGGCCAGATAGATAGATAAACTGACTGACTCATAGCATTGAAAGAGACGCCAAGGGCCATCCAGTCCAAATCCCCAAGATAGACAAACAATGATATAGTTGGAAGAGACTTTAAGGGCTATCCAGTCCAACCTTTAAGAGTTATATGATAGATAGACAAATCGATTGATTGATTGGCTGCCTGGCTGGCTGATTGATTCCTAGAGTTGGAAGAGACTCCAAGGGCCATCCAGTCCAACATTTAAGAGTTATATGATAGATAGACAGAAAAATCAATTGATTGATTGATTGGCTGGCTGGCTGGCTGATTGATTCCTAGAGTTGGAAGAGACTCCAAGGGCCATCCAGTCCAACCTTTAAGAGTTATATGATAGATAGACAGAAAAATCAATTGATTGATTGGCTGGCTGGCTGGCTGGCTGATTGATTCCTAGAGTTGGAAGGGACTCCAAGGGTCATCCAGTCCAACCTTTAAGAGATAGATTATACATAGGCAGACCTATAGATAGATAAACAGATAGATCGATAGATTCCTAGAGTTGGAAGAGACTCCAAGGGTCATCAAGTCCAATCTTTAAGAGATCAATTATACATAGGCAGACTGATAGATAGATGATAGATAGATAGATGATAGATAGATAGATTTATTGATTCCTAGAGTTAGAAGAGAGTCCAAGGATCATCCAGTCCAAACCCCCACGATAAATGGATAGACTAACTAGATAGGTCATCTAGTCCAACCTCAACCTTCATAGATAGACTGACTCATAGCATTGAAAGAGACGCCAAGGACCATCCGGCCTAAATCCGCAAGGTAGACAGACATAGAGTTGGAAGAGACCCCAGGGGCCATCTGGTCTGACCCCCTTCCATGCAAATGGTATGTAATTGAAGTATATGATGATCCCGTTTCTGCAGAACTGATACATGTGTTTTAACGTATCCACAATTTACTTTATTTGCTTAGGGGGTCTCTTATGCAAGGTGTACCCCTCCGTTTGGTACTTCCATCATCAAACCCATTGAAAATAATGCTGTTTGCTTTGGTGCATCCATATGAAGGCTTCCCAACAGATAAGTGGGTGCTGTAGTTTGGTGAGGCACTGGGCCTCTTTGGCAGAAAAGGATAAACACCTTGGGAAACTACAAATCCCAGGATGCCATAGCACTGCGCCATGGCACATAAACTACATTTGTTCTATAGTGCAAATGGAACCTTGGACTCGCAATGGAAACGAGGCCATTTTCTGTGTATGGAAAAGGACAAGGAACTGGGTCTCTGCAGAATCTAGGCCACAGACGGCACGGCTGCCTCCCTCCCTCCCCAAACCATCTTCCTTTTAATTAGCTCTTTCCTTACTTCCAATTAGCACTTTCTTTTTTAATTAGCACCTCCTGTGCCCTGGGGATTTTTTCCTGCCCAGAGCTTGCAAAAGGTACTTTTTTGGGGACAGCTTTTTCTTTGGTGATTGGGATGTCCAGTCTTCAGATTAGAACAGTGTTTCTCAACTTGGGGATCGAGACCCCGGGGGGGGGGGTTTGCAAGGGGGTGTCTGAGGGGTCACCAAAGACCATCAGAAAAGACAGTATTTCCCATTGGTCATGGGAGTTCTGTGTGAGACGTTTAGCCCAATTCTATCGTTGGTGGGGTTCCGAATGCTCTTTGATTGTAGGTGAACTATAAATCCCAGCAACTACAACTCCCACATGTCAAAGTCTATTTTCCCCAAACTCAACCACTGTTCACATTGGACCATATGGAGTGTGCATGCCAAGTTTGGTCCAGGTCCATCCTTGTTTGAGTCCACAGTGCTCTCCGGATGTTGGTGAACTACAACTCCCAAACTCAAGGTCAATGCCCACCAAACTCTTCCAGTATTTTCTGTTGGTCATGGGAATTCTGTGTGCCAAGTTTGGTTCAATTCCATCATTGGTGGAGTGCAGAATACTCTTTGATCGTAGGTGAACTATAAATCCCAGTAACTACAACTCCTAAAAGGAGCCCCTGGTGG